TGTAGGTCAACTTCCAAGTGGAACAAATAAGCATTCACGATTTATAATTCTAAAAATTATAACATAAAGTATGAGCTATGAAATTATATTTTAATTGAATTTAAAATATTCCGTCAAAGGTGTGACCTTACAAGGTTTTATGAGCCGATTAATAAAAAAAAAACATTTGAATCGCGTCGACTTTACCACTTTTACGGTTAACATAACTCGCAACTACGACCCAGTTTACTTTGAATTCTTACTTAATTAGAGAAATGTTTGCATAGAAAAAGTAGAAACAAACGTTGGCTTTAATAAAGTTAATACGAATTTTTCAAAGAAAAATGAGATATTAAATATGAACATGCTTATTTGACTTACATTGTTCAGAACAACGAAGAATATTAATAACTTTTTATGTTTGATTATAATATTGAACCGAACAAATATTTACATAGGAAAATTACAAAATCACTAAGAAAAGAGACTTAATAATTTCTGTTTACCTCTATTAAAAAGACTCGCGTACTAATTATCTTTTTAATAAAGTCTTTTAGTAATACACGGCGCACAAAAGTATTTAATTCCAAGCTGAATGGCGCAGTAGAAATTTGTAACTATGCGCAAACCGACTGCATCTCCCCCCCAGTGCGCTCATTATTAGCTTCCTTTTAATCCCGGTTTAAAAACTGCATGACAATGAGCAAGGCACACTCCCGGGACCGGCTTTGTAAAAAACGCCTTTCCTTTCCATTGCGCATTGAGTATTTGAACAAATATTTTTATTACTAAACCAATGTTTGCCTTGTCTTCATCAACGAGGGTTGGGTCGGACATGCATTCGATGCCCACCTTTTACTTCTTTCCAACCCTATTGCGAATTAAATGACAGCCCATTTAACAGACATCGCTTTTACTGGTCATATAACGCCTTTAAATAATGCTAGTTTGTACTGAATTTGTTTACCGCAAAAAGATTTTAGCACAACTAGTTACTGCTAGAAAGCCACGGTTTTAAATGAAAACGTTTAGATTGTAATATTTCAGAGCAAAAACATACAAACAGTTTAACATCAAATGTTTGTAACTTTAAAATTAATACTGCTGTTAAAATTTTATGACGGTATTCTTTTTCGCAATACAAAAGATATCATAATCGTAAGTTTAATCTCCAATAAAGAACAACGTTGACTGAAAACAAAAAGAATGGAAATTTTGATTGCAGTGCAAACCGAAACGGATCCTCCAAAACTGCGCACTAAAAGAAATTAATCGGCGTGTCCAAAAAAATAAAACAAAGGGAACCACGAATCCCACACTGGGCGAAGACAATATATTGCGTCGTCATAAAGTTGTGCCTCTCCCGCCAGGCGGCGCCAGCGGCAGCCCCCCGCGCCCCGCACGCACGTGCGTTACTGCCACTCGTCTGCTTCATTCAAGACATCGCGTGCTAATCGAGAACATACTTTATCACCTTACCCTAAGGTGCACATCTCAATATCAAGCTTTAAGAGATATATTCCAAGCGATAACTCATCTTACTTCTACGTGAACTTAAGTACAATTTGCTTTGACACCCCATCGCATTCCTCTCGACTTAAGCGATCGCGTCGTCGATGAATGTTTGAACTTTCGTCCTTTTTTGATTAGCGGTTATAGTTGCGGCTCTCTCGGCATTCTTATTAAGCAGTCTGACTTCAGCATATTGCATAAACAACTTATCCTTGAAATACATAACTATTGGCACATTTTAAATTCAATTATAGGTATCCTCTGAAAAAACTTTCTGAGATTGCCCAATACCGAAAGCAAAGAGTACTACACTAACCTACGTCTAGATGTCACTCGAACGTCTGTTGATCAGAGTATATACAGGAGTGGTCGGTAATAAAGAACGTAGAGTCGTTGCGGTATTATGCACCCCAACCACAAAGGTTCCCCAGCGTATTGGTCCCTGACGTATAACCCAATAAATACCCATAAGCTAGAATACGACACGTACAAAACATTCCACAGTATAAAAGCATTATCCAGTAACGTAATTTATTTATACCTCAGGTATTACCTGAACGGTTATTTTATGGTTACACTTAAACGCTCAATAATCCAAGCAGTTAAATCATAAAAGAGGGTGTCGGAACCCATAATGTACTTCCATAAACGTTAAAGAATAAGGTTTTAGATGGAAACAGCTACTCCAACCACGGCCAATAAACATTAATCACATTTTTTAATTTAATTCTCCCGTAACCCTTGTACTATTCAAGGACTGTACGAAGGGTAGAATTTATTAGTTATGTAATATCACGTTTAGATGATAAATCAAACATTCAAGACTGTCAGTCTTAGAATTTAGGTACAGTTGGGGACACTGGCGAGGTTCCACTTAAAAACTACGATATGAACATTTTGAAACAAAACGTAAAACAAAAATCAATACTCTTTTACGAAAAAGTCTTTTATTGATACATGGCTACTTTCTTTTTATTATTATCCATTTGTGTACACTAAACACTGTTATCTAATTAGTTTTTTTGTAGGAAGAGGCGGAGTTTGTCTCGACATTTTTCTGCGACTGTACGAGTATGCCGTATACTAATTTTAATATATCATTTAGGTTATTTTACACGCAAGCGATCTATCTTCGTTGGCTAATAAAGAAAATCGATAAACTCTCTATTCACGCATTTAGCATTAGTGCGTAAGTATAGTGGGAGTGCAGTTAACGCGAACACTGACCTTACTTAATCTTTCAAAAGTGAGTCATCGGAAACCGTCTCGGAGAAATTTCTGCATCCAATTTCCTACCAATACTCGCCTCGACAACCCACAGAGAACCGGTCCGTGTTAGCGGTACAGTCTTACAATAGCAATATGAATCTATAAATTAATATTCCTATGTAAGTTATCTATACATTTCTAAAAAGCTTTAGTAAGGTCGCCAAAACAATTTTGCTATTGCCCAAAATGTTAAAAAAATATTTTCATTTTTTTTACATCGTTGAATTCAACCATATCCTCTAGCTATTCTAGGAAAGATTCGTATTTTTTGCTTATTGCATATATTGAAATATCTCAAAAACTACAGGGCCGATCTAAAAAATTCTTTCACCATTAAACCAACGTTAAAGTTGCGAGCAACATCTAGTTATTTATATAAATAAAGTTAGACTTAAAATTTATAAGTCGCATTAAAAAGGCGAGTACTCCCCCCAGAGGCACTTTACGGTGAATTTGTATTCTTTGAGTGCGCACTTAGCCGGAAGTTGCCTTCATTATCGCTTCGCATTTTGTACACAATTTGCACAAATTGAAACTGTACCCGGTACAACACTTCTAGAATAATAAGTTATATCAATATTTCACACATTAATTGAAACCGTAACGCTTGACAATGAGGTTATTACAATCACAATCTACGGAATCAATCCGTTTTGTAGATAACAATACATTTCTATTTTGTTACAATTATTAGTTTTGATAAAACAGAAAAAAAAACGTACTAAAAAGGGCATTTTAAATCGATTCTTACGCGTTTTTCTTTTGTTTCGTATTTCATTTTTTTTGACATTTTTTTAATATATAAGTACCAAAAGAGGATATCAGTACTGTTAATCAATTTCCATAGAAACCTTTGATCATTTATTAACCACAGTTCGCGCGCGGTCATCCCACCCTCCTGGTTTCAATTGCTAGATCACATTACTGAAGAGGTGTTGACACGTTACGAGTGTCTCCACATCAAACAACTCAACTATAGACGTGTAATTAACTCGGACAATTAGCAACTAACTCAATAATATCAATTTCAAGTTAAATTGATTTATAACTCCAAATGAATTAAAATCGATTGCAAACCGCACATATGGCATAAAGTCTTTCAAAGGATGTCTCAACATAAAAGATGAAATATGAATAAATAACATTAGCATTTTAAATCGAAGCTCACAAAGACCGGATACAACGGCAATTCAGGATATGTACTCGTCGCATTTGTGTCTAGACTTGACAGTACATTTCCTTAAATTAACAGCATTCCCTTATGAATGAACCGACAAACCAAGAAGGAACGTTATAAAAGGGGCGTCGAATTCTTTTGCACACCATACCCGTATCTGAACTTGCGGTACATAAAGCTACTCGTATATTACTAATCCGGGCGTAACATTGCAAAACGCAGAATAAACTGCTGGCTTTGTGTTGCACTAATGAGAGGCACGTGGCCCGTCCCCCGCAATGCAGACTGCACAATAAAACAATAGCACTACACTACAGTTGTACACCATCCCTTTATTCCTGCAGGATGAACTGTCGCGTGACTGTGACTCGTAGCTAACGTGCCCAAGCCAAAACTTTAGGGACAAGTCTGTTTATTCTATTTAAAGAAAAATAGATCTCGCGAAACATTCTTATAAGGAAATTTTGTGCTCTATGGGATCCCTAAGTTACTTTCGGATAGCCATTTCTACGAAATTAAATGAATTCAGAGGTTTTAAATGTATTACTTTAAGTCAAGCTAAACTTTTTTCGATCAAGTGTCATAGTTATATACAAAATAATATAAAATACTTATATTATTTTGTATTTAATGTAGGTACTTCATTATCATATGCACAATATTGTTAATTTAAGTATTTTCAGATTTTAATAACCTTAAAATTGACGTGTACGTAAAGTTCAATGACTCCATGTTAGATAGCAGTGTTGTCCTACTTTAAACTCTATGAAGTTCCAATACGATGTATGTCTTGCATAAACAATTACACTTAAAGTTCATTTCAGGGGAATAAATAATCAAAACTCTAATAAACAATCCTTCTGAAAGCATTTCAGATCGCAACATTTACAAAACTAACTTTTGCAATGTTTGTAAGCAAGTTGCCGTCAATCACAACAACATAAACATGGGTTAATAAGTGACGCGAGCGTTTATGTCGATGCTCGCATTACGTTCCTGTTATAAAGAGGATAGCATCGTGTCCACCGACGTTTTTGGGTGTTGAATGGTGACCATCACTTACCTAATTGCGCGAAGACTTTGGGCCTGACGTTCTCCTGCCAGGCGGCGGCGGCAAGGGCGAGCAGCGCCGCGAGCAGGGCACAACGGAGCACGATCATGGCACTAGTCACAAGTCGACATCACTCGGGAACACTCGCGAAGCGTGGAGCGCAGCACGAACGAGCGGGGCACAAGGCGGCCGGCGGCGGACTGGCGG